CGAACGAGTGGCGAATGGTGGCGCCCATGAGTAAGAGGCGGTGCGGCGTCGGGTGCGCCGTATTGAGTGACCTGTTGTACGCCGTGGGCGGACACGACGGCCAGTCCTACTTGAATAGCATCGAACGCTACGACCCGCACACCAACCAGTGGTGCGGCGACGTGGCGCCCACCAGCTCCTGTCGCACGTCCGTAGGTGTGGCCGTTTTGGACGGCTTTCTATACGGTATGGCCCGTGAAATAGGCGATGATTTTTTTCGTGCGTTTATTAACTGATTGTATGCTTTCCGTGTGGACAGCCGTCGGGGGTCAGGACGGGGTCTCGTGTCTGAACTTCGTGGAGCGATACGACCCGCAGACCAACCGATGGAACAAAGTGGCCGGTATGTCGACCAAGCGATTAGGTGTGGCCGTAGCCGTGCTCGGCGGGCACCTGTACGCCATCGGCGGCTCGGACGGCACGTCGCCCCTGAATACGGTCGAGCGGTACGACCCGCGAACGAACCGCTGGTGTCCGGTGTCGCCGATGGGCACCCGACGCAAGCACTTGGGCTGCGCCGTCTATAACAACATGATTTACGCAGTGGGCGGGAGGGACGACACCACAGAGCTGTCGTCCGCCGAGCGCTATAACCCGCAGTCCAATCAGTGGCAGCCAATCGTCGCGATGACCTCCCGGCGCTCCGGTGTGGGGCTGGCAGTGGTAAACGGTCTGCTCTACGCCGTCGGCGGTAAGGGTTTTGTGTTTTTAATGGTTAAGCGTTTGTTGTCTAATACCCACTGTTGGTGTGGTTTAGGGTTTGACGGGTCGACGTATTTGAAGACAATCGAAGTGTACGACCCCGAGAAGAACCAGTGGTGTCTGTGCGGGTCAATGAACTACCGGCGCCTCGGCGGTGGTGTCGGTGTCGTACGGATACCCCATCTCGAGACGTACTTCAGATGATTACACGACTTATAGGTTTTGGGTTTTTGTTTGCATAGGATTTTAAGGCAATATTAGATATGAATAATCATTTAAATCGAAACAATGGCGTGATTTGGAGCCGATTATGGGGGCTGGGAGTTCATGATATCCCCATCCCCTCTACGCCCTATACCTCTAATAATCATTGTAATTATATTTATGTTTGTAAATAGCATTTCAGTGACATTTAAACAAATAGTTATTTAAACGGTAAATATGTTATGTATTTATACTTCAGTTTTTTTAATCGCTATTATTTTAATTTATAATCATTTCGTTTGTGTACATAATTTAATTGTAAATCAAATGACATTTTTTTGTTTGAAAATAAAACTTTCATTTGGTTTGTTTAATGCTTAACGAATGGCTTAAAGATTGCAATGAATGAGAATATTCTGTAATATGTTGTAATCAATCGATTTAGTGATCCATTGGTTCCAGAGGTCGTGGGTTCAGTGAGTGATGAATGGCTTCCAAAGGGAATCGCATTCATATGTCTTGAGATCGACTCCAGACATCTGCTCACGAGTTAAGCCATAATCGATGACACGATAGGCTTTGGACACAGAATTGGCGGACATTTCACTGAATTCTCGCCAAATGTTTGCCGTTTTCTCAGCCAATGGTTGACTTCAACACAAAAATCAATTAATTTTAACTCAAAATGCAATCCATTTCTCACTTATTGTACGCAAACT